TAATATCATTATACAAGCACAATAAAAAGAATAGGATCCCAAACCGAACACAATTGAATTAAGTGTATAGTAATTAATTTTTTGCAATCATCTTATCTTTCAGGAGTGTGTGTGTGTAAGAGAGAGGGAGAGAGAGTTTTTACCTCTTTTTTGGAGAAAACATGATGTAGATAAAAGGATCCCAGCTTCCAAAGGAGAACTTCCCCGGCATTCAATTCCATCTGAAAAAAGGAAATATAAGGTAATGAGATATAAAAGCTTAGTGTAAAAAAAAAAAAAAAAAACTGCTCCAATACTAAGCTGATTAAAATGAAATTATTTTTTCTGAACTAGAGGCCTAGATTTTTAACTTTTTGTTTTTGATTCGAAATTTCTGCATGCATGTAGATCAGTATAAATGTAGGTTAGCCTTAACGCTTCAAAGGAAATTTATCTAGTTAAAGATACAATGATGATTATACATGCATTTACAAATTCTTTATCTGTTACTGTACAACAGTATATTTGAGAAGTTTCGTAAATGAGATGTGGATACTTAAAAACTCCAAGGAACTTTCACAAAATTGGAAATCACAAAATTTTATCAAATTAATAACATCAAAACATACGACTTTTCAACACTTTATACAACACTTCCCCACCATTATTTAAAGTTCAGGCTTTTTGACATCATAGACATCTGCTTTTAAAATAAAAATGGAGCTCGTATATACTTACTTGTCATTGTTCATTTGCAAAATTATTTTTGTTAATAAACATTCTGAATGTACACATAAGTACCCTGAAGTTGATATCAAAAAGATGCTCGAGTTTCTAATTGACAGGTTTTCCAACAATCTGTTGAAATTCTTATTTGTACCAATTGTGTCCCCTTATTAACAGACCTAGTGTTGTATTCATATAAAGGAGAATTTATTCAAAAAACTTCTACATGAGAAGAAAACACTTGTTGAAGCCTGCAAATCGACATTTAGCTATATTGATAATGTATCATCAATTAACAATGGTTACTTCCATTCATATGTCGACTCAATATATTGATTGATTGATTGTTGTTTTACGTCCCATTCGAGAATTTTTCACTCATATAGAGACGTCACCATATAACGGTGAAGGGCTTCAAAGTTTGATCTTTACTCGGCAATCAGGGCCATTGAGCAGTGAGGGATCTTTTTCGTGCCAACGCCTGCCGTGACACGGGACCTCGGTTTTTAAGGTCTCATCCGAAGGACCCGCAACTTTCACTTCAAAGTGCCGAGCGCATGGCGAAGGAACAGTTGCTACCTTTTTTTTTATCGACTTAGGTCAGTCGAGGCCGAGATTCGAACTCACGACCTTCCGATCACGGAGCGAGCGCTCTACCGACTGAGCTACCGTGACGGTTCAACCCAATATATTCCAGTGAGCGTGCAATAAAAGATACCACAGAGTCTGACACATCTGTTTCATATTTGGATATTTAACTAGAAAATACTTTAATGGAAACCTATTTCCTATATATTCCTATGGTAAATTTTCATCCCCTGTTGTTGCCTTGCTCTACCCCCCCCCCCTCCCCGGATCATGATTGGATCAAATTTGAATCTACACTACCTCAGGATACTTCTGTTATAATTTGACTAATCATGGCTTTGCTGTTCTTGAGAAGAAGATTCTTAAATACATTTCCAATATATTCCTATGTAAAACTTCGACGTTCTATTTTGGCCCTGCCCTACCCACGGAAGTTATGATATTCACAAATTTTACTCTAGAGTATATAATGAAGCTTTCACACAAGTTTCATCTTTTCTTGCACAGTGGTTCTTGAGAAGAAGATTTTAAAAGATGCCAAACAATTTTCACGAATTCTTAATTATCTCCCCTTGAAAGAGGGCACAGCACTTCATATAAACAAACTTCAATCCCCTTTACCGAAGGATGCTTTGTGGCAAGGTTGGTTGAAATTGGCCCAGTCGTTCTTCAGAAGAGGTCGAAAATATATGAAAAGTTTACAAACGACAGACAGACGCCGGACATTCTTCGATCAGAATAACTCACTTGATCCTTCGGCTCAAGTGTGCTAAAAACTAGGGACATCAGTATAAGAAATGGTGCTCTTACTTCGCCAAATAGATTAAGATCATCTTGACAAAAGGTGGAGAAATATCTTTGTACCAAAATGCAAGAAAATTGATATTATTTAACAAAAATTGTTACCTATGCTTCTCCTAATAGATTCATAGTTGTTTGACAGATAGTGAAGAAATTTAACTTCCTGTCCAAAACACAACACTGCCACGTTTTCATCTTCCTCTCTATGATCACCGATTTCTGTGTTTAGAGGAAAAGAAAGGAAGTAATTATTTAATGAGAAAGATATAAAACTTGGGAAAAAAATACAAAAAAAGTTCTAACCATTTATAATGTTCAAGAAACTTCTTTTCATTTGCCTTAATCCCTCGCCAGCCATACTCTCTGAAGTATCAAGTAGAAAGACTGTACAAACTCCCTTCCCCTGCTCGTGTTGTCTGTTAAAAACTTGAATTTGAAATTTACAAGTGTTAGTTGTGTCACAATTTTTTTTGATTTTCATTTGAAAATAAAATTGGCGCGCACTGCAAATCATACACGTTTGCTGCATTTGTTTGTGTTGTGTGTCTAGTGTAAATGTTTTGTGAGATCATGTGACATTGTTTATTTTTGAATATCCACTTGTTTCCGGTTAGGTTTCCTAACTTGACCTCACTGCTTACCAATAATTGACTGTTTTTATTTCATTAAGGCCAAGATCTAGTAAATAAAGGTGCCTACAAATTTTTAAAATTTGAGAAATAAATTCCTTTATTGATGCTTTATAACTTTAGGTTTATCACATTAGGTGTTTCGGGGCATAATCTGTAGGTAAACAAGACGAAAAATCATAATAATTATAACTATTATTTTCAATGAAAATTTAAGAAAATCAGTTATGAATATGGGAGTTTTTTCCATATCAGACGAAGGAAATGTATCCAGGTTGCCTACAGTCTCTCAGAAAACGGTAATTTTTATGTTCTTAACCTCTTCTTTAAAATACTATCAAATTAAATATAAGTATCGGGATTACTTTTCACATGATTTCAAATTGAATTCCATGAAAATACTTTATTTTCTACATAATTTTATCAGAGCTGTAAAGTACGGGAAAAAGAAAGTCTAAATTGATTATGACGTCATAATGGATCTAGCACCAAAAAGACATAAAACTTGGGAAAAAAATACAAAAAAAGTTCTAACCATTTATAATGTTCAAGAAACTTCTTTTTATTTGCCTTAATCCCTCGCCAGCCATACTCTCTGAAGTATCAAGTAGAAAGACTGTACAAACTCCCTTCCCCTGCTCGTGTTGTCTGTTAAAAACTTGAATTTGAAATTTACAAGTGTTAGTTGTGTCACAATTTTTTTTGATTTTCATTTGAAAATAAAATTGGCGCGCACTGCAAATCATACACGTTTGCTGCATTTGTTTGTGTTGTGTGTCTAGTGTAAATGTTTTGTGAGATCATGTGACATTGTTTATTTTTGAATATCCACTTGTTTCCGGTTAGGTTTCCTAACTTGACCTCACTGCTTACCAATAATTGACTGTTTTTATTTCATTAAGGCCAAGATCTAGTAAATAAAGGTGCCTACAAATTTTTAAAATTTGAGAAATAAATTCCTTTATTGATGCTTTATAACTTTAGGTTTATCACATTAGGTGTTTCGGGGCATAATCTGTAGGTAAACAAGACGAAAAATCATAATAATTATAACTATTATTTTCAATGAAAATTTAAGAAAATCAGTTATGAATATGGGAGTTTTTTCCATATCAGACGAAGGAAATGTATCCAGGTTGCCTACAGTCTCTCAGAAAACGGTAATTTTTATGTTCATAACCTCTTCTTTAAAATACTATCAAATTAAATATAAGTATCGGGATTACTTTTCACATGATTTCAAATTGAATTCCATGAAAATACTTTATTTTCTACATAATTTTATCAGAGCTGTAAAGTACGGGAAAAAGAAAGTCTAAATTGATTATGACGTCATAATGGATCTAGCACCAAAAAGACAGTCTAAAGTCATTTACTAGATCTTGACCTTAAGGTCAAGATCTAGTAAATGAAAGGTGCCTACAGATTTCTCAAATTCTAAAAATGAATTCTTTTAATGATCCTTTACAAATATAGCTTGGTAAAATAAGGTGTATCGGGACATAATTTTTAGGTAAACTCAACAAAAAAACATAATTGAAGCTGTCATTTTCAATGAAAAATGAAGAAAGTCAGGTATAAATTTCAGAGTTTTTTCCATCGCAGAAAAAGGAAATGTATCAGTATTGCCCAGAGTCTCTCAGAAAATGAGTTCGTATCTTCTTGACCTCTATTTTAAAATGATATTAAATTGAATGTAGGTATCGGGCTTACTTTTGACATGATTTGAAATTGAATTCCATGAAAATGCTTCATTTTTTACAAAATTCTATTACAGTCGTAAAATACGGGAAAAAGTAAGTTCAAGTTGATTATGATGTCATAATGGATCTTGCATCAAAAAGAAAGTCTAAACTCATTTACTAGATCTTGACCTTAATATGCATGTTTTAATTTCTGAAAGCTAGTATATAAGCACAAAACTCGCCAATTCTTGACCCCCATGCTCTTTTTGCATTTACGGTATACGACTGTATTTTGCTATTATATTTGAAGTATTATTGAAAGTATTACTTTATGTAAAATTTACGAATTTCGGATAAGCTTTCCAATTATATTCATTATAGTTACATGTACAATATTAACTTAAATGTATTTTATATTTTATTCTTATTAATTAATCACATAGTTTGATAGCAAACGATCATATAGTTCATGTGATGTTAATGTGTGGCGTTAAATGTAAAGTGATCGTCTTATGTGTGTATTGTATTGTGAGAGTATTACTGTTTAATTTATATTTTCTATTTTTTTCGTCTATGAAGCACATGATAAATTAATTTGTACCTACTATAGTGTTGGATTTCTTCTTCAAAAGACCCAGTGAAAGGTATGGATTTTTAAAAACGTAACGTTATAAAACTTTAAACGTTAATTAGTATAAAATGCAATTAGTTTCGATCCTATTAAACCTATTTAATCTTTAGTCAAAGATTCCACTTCAGTCGACGAGTTCTATGTATACAAGCAATTTTACTTCCAAAACTTCCTCTAGGGTAGGAAGATTCATATATAAAATAAATCAATTTATTTTTTTTTTCGAACATACGAATATATTCGAGTCCCTTTTTCGAATAAACGAGGGGCTGTGACGGTACATATTGTCGTTTTGTACATATTGTCGTCGGCGAGAATATGGACCTACCCTCACTGCACATATTGTCGTCCATCGGTACATATTGACGCCGGCGACAATATGTACCGAGACGAGCCTTATTTTCCTCCTGCATAATGGGCGACAAAATGTACAGTGAAGCACCAGCACACATTGTCGTCGGCGACAATATGTACAGTCAAGGTCGGCATATATTGCCGTCGATATATTGTTTTGACGAATATTTACTTGAGAGAAGAAAGAGAGATTGACAAACACACACACACGGAGGGACAGTGACAGCATTACTCGCAATACTGTAGGGAAAAAACTTTCTGGTCAGAAAATTGTGTCCAGGATTGATGTACATGACTATGACATATCTAGATACCGTAATTTTTTAGATATCCGATAAATCAGCTATTCTTTTTTTCTTGTAATATATACTTGGAGATTGAATACAGGTATTTTTTTTGTTCAATAGTAATGATTATTTGGAAATTATTTGTTGTGTTATTCTTATATACGATCATGTGCCGATATAATATTATAAATATAATTTATTGTTAATAATAATATAAGAATAACGCAAAAATAACATTTTTAGATAACCTGAACTGAAAGTTCAAGAGAGCTTTACTGATCACATTTTGTCTGACCGTCCGTCTGTCTGTAAACTATTCATAATTTCAGCTTCTTCTCAAGAACTAATGGGTCAATTTCAACCAAACTTGCCACACTTGCATCCGTGGGTAAAGGGGATTCAAGTTTGTTCATATGAAGGGCCATGCCCTCTTTCAAGGGAAGTAATTAAGAATAAGTGAAAATTTAGTGACTTCTAAAAATCTTCTCAACAACCACTGTCTCAGAAAAGTTGAAACTTGTGTGAAAGCTTCATTAAAAAGTGTAGATTCAGTTTCATTCAGATCATGTCCCTCGGGGGATAGGTGTGGCTACAATAGATGATCTAAGATTTTCATAGAATATCTAGAAAAAAATCTTTCAAAATCTTCTTTTCAAGAACTACTGGGTCAGAAGAGATGAAAAATATGAGAAGGCTTCATAGCGTGCGTTCAATTTTGAGGTGCTGGCTCAAAAAAGATCCCTCACTGCTCAATGATCCTGAGTGCCAAGTATAGGTCTAAATTTCCAGGGCTCCGCCGGTAAGTGGTGACTTCTCAATATGAATGAAAAAATTCTCGAGAGGGGCATTTTAACAACAAACAAACAAAAACAAAATTTTGTTCAAGTCATGACCCCAGGAGTAATGTGGGGCCACAATGGGTGATCAAAGTTTTACATCGAATATATACAGAAAATCTTTAAAAACCTTCTCAAACACCAAAGACATATGGGGCACCCCCCCCTTCGCTTGGTGATTTGCTTCTTTTTTTTTTTGCTTTGGTAAATTCGGTTTGCTTAACTTGTATATACTTAGTCCACAGGTAAAATTTCATAATTAAATAATTAACTTAACATATAAAATAACACTTCTGGACGACAATATGCGCAGTAAGGGAAGGTACACATTGTCGCCGGCGACAATATGAACAGGACGACTAAATGTACCGTCACAATCACGCTGCATGAAATAGCATACGAGACACGTCAATGTAATTCTCACACCAATTACATTCACAAAACAACCAAAAAACCACAAAAGACATCTTTAAACAACAATATCTGTGGGGCGACAATATGTACAGTGAGGGTGAGGCACATAATGTCGCCAGCGACAATATGTACATATGTAACTTTTCAGTCGGCGACAATATGTACCGATGGACGACAATATGTGCAGTGAGGGTAGGTGCATATTGTCGCCGACGACAATATGCACAAAACGACAATATGTACCGTCACAGGGGCATTTCAAAAGTTCTGGCAACTGGTGTGCGGTAAATTAATGAGCGTCATTATCATAAATTAAATTATATCAATCCCTCAAAATAGTCTCCGTTGACCTGGACACACTTTTTCAGTCTTGAAATCCACGTGGAAAATGCTGCCCTATAGTCCTCTTTCGGTATACGCTTCACACACTGGAATACGGCACTTCCGACTGCATGACGACTTTCAAATCGCCGTCCTCGGAGGGCTTCTCTGATAACGGCATTCAACCAAAAATCGCATGGAGCTAGGTCAGGACTGTAAAGTGGACAGTGTATCATTTACCACTGTATA